ATAGTATATATTGTGTATATTTTTTGGATTTATATGTCTTTGACTTGGTTATCTCCTTTTAACATTAACTTGGATTTACGTTTATGTAACCTGAAGAGGATTAATTGGAAGGAATATTCTTTGTTCATATATCTATATTTTTACCATTATATATATTTTAAACAATCAGGACGTTGTCATTTTAAAATTCTAGCCATGCTTATTAAATATATCAAGAATGCTGACCATCTGCCTTAGAAATACATATATTTAAAAGCGATTATCTTCATAAAATGACACCTATAAAAGGACCAGTTCGAAATTAAGGACTTCAAACTGTATGGCAGCTTTGTAGTGTCTGATATTATTTCAAGTCCACACGGGTTATTCTAGCTTCTGAACAGACCATTTTATTCCTTCTTCTTGAGTCACATTCTGACCTTATCAATTATTCGCTTATTAACCTTGACTGTTTTTATATGAGCGTATGTGTGTGAATTGATCAACCAACTCATTACATATCTGTAGCCTATTTTTGTCTAACTATAAATATTGAGCCACCCTTTATCAAAACGGAGTTGACTTCGCCTTTTCCGCTTCTTATCCTGAACGCCTGTCTGAATAAACGAATGCTTGGAATAAATCCCTTCAACGCAATCCACATTCATCTGTCACACACGGGATTAGCCTAGTTAGTATACGAAATTGAATGGAAGATTTGTGTTCATAGTATATTCGTACATTCATCTAAATCGGGGTCAGATCAGCTGGCCACATAGGCTTCATTGTGATTTAAAATTCTTCAGCAGCGCTCATATTCGAATGATTATATGTCAGGAATTTTGTCGTCATGATAATGTCGAAAATGACGTCATACAGAATTTATCTATTACCCTAGGACATTTATGCATAAAGATTAATGATAGATCAGCTGGAAAATGAAAAATCAGTCTGGCTATTTTATTATAAATCTCATTTTGCCGTCTTGTGACACCTATAATCACCTATCATATGTCATATGCAATATGGATTTTTCTTCATATTGACGATGATAAATATACATTTGTAGTGAAAACGTCTTGAGCTATGACATAATGACGCGTTCATGGCTTATATTAAATTAGAAACGACAATTTGTATCGATTTTTTAAGCAACTGATTAATTAGTTGTATATGTTAGGAAAAATGATCAATAATTTGCTTGTTAACGAAGATATACAGCTTAGGTGTGTATTATATTATCTATACCAAATATATGAGTTTCAGACCCCTCGTTATCATTTTTGACACTATTGCTGCCTCTACCTTATTTAAAATTGAGTTTCTGGGTTATTCCACACGTCTTAAATCAGTTTGTTCGAATGTCTTTCTTTTGTGGTTTTTTGTTTCCACTTATTTTTGCATTTATATCGAATGTCATTTTCAGTTGTCCTGCCACCCTGAAATTGATTAACCTCTTCTGTATGGGTCGATAGATTAAATCTATGTTAATGTGTTTATTGATTGTCAATCAATCAAAATGCCATATTGCTAAAAATTTTGTTATTTAGAATTTTCTCAATTCAGAATTTCTATTTCACTCATCATTATTCACAAGCATTGACAACAGTCACCTTAATGCTAATCGATGTCTATGTATGTGTAAGTGAAGGACGCATCAAATTTGTCAGGGCTCATGCAATTTATTTTATAGATGATGTTGTATTTGTTCTCTTTTACCGTTATATACTTTTGCTTACAAGAAATAAAATGACCTGGATGTACTGACAATAATGCGTGACATTGATTCTAAAAGGTTTCAGAATGCTTATAATGGCCGTCAAGATATTTTTCACATATGCCAGGACGATCTCCATTTTGTTCCTGATTTCTGAGCTTCATCTTGTGATGGTATATTGATTTGATAGACGACTTTTAATGAAAAAGAAGAACTGAAAACGAGTTTCTTCAATTTTTTTGTGGTGAGACAGCCACATTATGTTATGACTCTTCAGAATGAATGAATTTTTTGGCATTAGAATCTTAGCACTAATTGAATGCATTAAGTATGGATAAGCACATCTGAAAAGCTGCTCTACTTCGACTCCTTTATATACATGAATTCTCGGTTGACAAGAGTAGTAGTAGTAGTAGTAGTAGTAATAATAATAATAATAATAATAATAATAATAATAATAATAATAATATTAGTAGTAAACGTAAATGACAGGTAACCGTATTAAAATTCAGTTAAATAGGCAATAATATTTTATTATATTCGGTATAAAGCAATCGGTAATGAGAAGATCGAGTTGATCACTAATACATGATGTAGTTGAGCCACACATTTAGAACAATTTGACACTACATATACTTGTCAAGAAATTTTATGTGATTAGTAATAAACTTTAATTGAATAAAAGGTGTATTAAGCATGAAGTGATAATTGGAAATATAAGAGAAAAATTAAAAAATACAGAAAAAAATTATCATATCACATCGGTTCGCACATTGCCTAAAGATTATCAATGCAAAATCAAGGTTATAACAAATCAGTTTCGTACACGTAAGATTCGGAATACTTAATAGCTAAATCTTTTTTGTTATTAACGATTTCTATATAATACTATAGAGGATGTATTAAGGTTAATTCTATAGCTTGTTTCAGTTGTTTGCTTTGCTACTGGAGAACATAGTTTTCTAGTACTGACGTTTATCGGAGCATTTGATAATAACTAATTTTGAAGCCATTTAAGCACTTGTTCCATAACTCTAGATTGCATTATTCCGTTGCTCCTCACTATGTATTCGTTTCTATGTAAATACAGTGGATTACGACATGTCATTTTATGTTATACTTTGGTGTATGTGGATCCCTGAGCATTGTTTCTCTAAGAACAGTTAATTTATCAGTATAAAATATTTTCTCGATGGCGACTTCTAATCTGTCTCAAAATTATTCTATCTGAGATTCCTCTAAATTTTAAAATGATATTGTCTTTTCTTTGGGATAGAATTAGGAAGTGGTTTTGATGTTAACTTTCTTTAACACAGATCTATAACCTTCAACAGACATCAGGCCAATATCAATGTCTCAGTCTGGAGTTCTATATTTTCTTCAAACGTATCTGCAGTGAATAATCACTAAATTCTATTGGAATAGAACCTTATCACCCGTCAATCGTATTCAGACGAACAGAAACTGCGAAAGTTAAGATATTGCCCAGTCCAGGTTGGCTTTACATAAACTGATGAGTTTACAGTTCTATCCTCCTTTGGTTCAGAAGTACATTTTAAAATGGCAATCAGTTATTATTTTCTTCTTTATAAATAAGTAGAATATGATTCTGTACGTTATTGCGTCTATTTGATTATCAAATCACACAGAAATACCTATCAAATATGACTAGCATATCATCCATGTACCTCCTATATGAGGTTTACTTGGCTGATCGCCTCAGTTGTCATATTTTCAACAATTTAACATGTACATGTGCTAAGAGAAGTCCCAAGGTAGTGGGCATAACAATATCATCAACTCGTCTAAAATGTTCATCTTTAAAATGAACTTTGTCAATACATAATGAAAGTGGTTTTTTCAATCGTATTGGTTCAGTTCAAACAAAGAGGAAAATTACCCGATACACCGTAACAGAGAAAATCAACAGAAATAATAAAAAGTACATCAGTAAGAAGAGAGCTAACACTAAAAGACTCCATAAACTCTTTCATAATATCAACGTTATTAGGGAGACCAATTAAATCTAACGTGTCTTTTGAAGTATACTTACAATTACCATTTTGTTATAAACTCGATCTTTTATGAAACTGATGTCTATTAGTTGTGGTCTAACTTCAATTAAAAGTGATTAAAACTCTCATTGGTGACATAATGAGATTGAATTTAAAACATGAAAAAATAATATATTAAAAAATTGTTAGTAACTTCAGTAATTGAATTCATGAATATATCAGTGTTAGACCACCATCGAAGACCTGGAAGCACTGGATTGCTGTTTCGTCCTAGTACGGGACTCCCCAGCAGTGCCCATCCACGACCCTGCATGCGGGACTCGAACCTAGGACCTTCGGTGTCGCACGCAAACGCCTAACTTTTAGACCACTGAGCCGACATCCAATAGTGTTTACATCGACTCATGAATTCAAATAATACGATTACCACAATCTCCACAAACCCCCATTCTGATCATAAATTGTTAGTGTTAGTTTTACACAGAAATTCAGTGCAATATGTGAAAGTCACACATAGATTACGATAAAAAATAAGTCATTGAGTTTGGGGTTGGTATATGCTAGTAAGTGTATATGGTAATCGGAACGATCTGTAGAACAACAAAACAATAAGAATTATTCTTAATAACAGTAAAATTTGGACACATGAAATCTAACTTTAAAGTAAGGATTAAAATGAGGTATCAAAATTTGGTAAAGATATTCAACTCAATATTTTGGAGAAAGATGGAGAATGAATATACCTATCCAACTGGAATCAATTTCGATTCATGCCATTCAAGAAATATAACTCAGTAAAATTTGTAGTAATCTCATTCTGTATACCTTGAGTATTTTTTAAACTCTTAAAGGTTGCATAAACTCTTCTGACTAGTCTGTATTAGAGTGGGATTTCATTAAAGCTCAAACATTCAAATGGACTCGTGAATAATCTATTCAATGATTTTTTTGTCATGTAGTTTGCATATTTGCACACTGCTTTACCAGTTTCGAGTTTGATCAACTGCTTGCTTATGTCGAAAATAAACTGTTCTATAAAATGTCGTATTCGATTTCCTAATATTGAACTGTCAAATAGTAGAACATTTCACGAGTTTAGCTTCAGAAGATAATGCGAACTTTAACTTGCAGCTTGTATAATTGATGTCAGATTGCATTTAAAGTGAATATTGCCCTACCAAATGCCTTTTTATATAAGTCAGAAGTTAAACAAAACAAAATGAAGCCAGTCTTTGAATGAATCATCAGTAACATATACTGAACATTCATTAGCAATAGAAAAAACTTACCAAAGACAAAGTTACATCATTCATTTTCTTCAATCCATCTACATTCCATTCTCTTCTTCTTATTACGTTTTGTAATATTTCTGGAATCATCTTATTTTCAGTAGATTGATTCATTAAATTTAATAAATAAGATCTTAATTTAAAATACTTATTCAATGTTTTATAGTGAAGTAAATATACACTATTATTGATTGTCAATAAAATATCACCATTTAATTGAATACCGACGATTCTACAAACAGCTTTAGAGATTCTTGGTCCGGTTGGAAATGGTAATCTAAATGTATTTATCAACTGTAGACTACATTTTAAACAGACGATATTAGTGTCTCCACTATCAACTAACATTTGTAGACGTTGTAATGCTTTTGTAGATGTTCGTTTCAAACTGTTAGAGTTTCTGACATGATAATCATTTCCCATATTGTAATCAAATGTTGTTTGCCATACTTTTAAATAAAGGTTTTCTCGTTCAACAGGATCAGTAGTTACTGTTAGAAATATTTGTTCAATCATGGGTGATTTTTCAAAACGTTTGTTTAACATGCTTATATTTGTTAAGCCAATACAAATATCTTTAACCAAAGCTGTATTCTCATGATTTAAATAAGCTGAGTCAAAATACCGTGATGTTATGAAATTGAACATAGAATAGGGATCACCTGGATTGGCCACTTCAGCACAGACTACATTGTAACAACAAGAATTAGTTACACAATTAATATCAGTTTCCTTTACTTTGGGAAATGAATAATTCTTAGCTGTATAAATGCAATAGATGTCAGTATTATTAATAATTTTAAATGGAAAACGTGTGAAATATGCACGTAAATTTGGTTTATTCCTTTGAAAAATGTCCAGTTTTTGTATTTGCACACCGATTGGTAAAGGTGTAATCAATTGCCATACTTTTAATGTTCCATCTAAGGTGATAATGTATAATCTCCCGAATATCGGATTTGATCTAATTGACGATATATGTTGTTTCTGATCAACTCCTGGAGGATTATCTGATTTACAAAGTAAACAAAAATGAGTTATTAACTTACATGAGTGATGGGTCTGTCATTTAGAAAACAAATGAAAGTCGAGATTTCGACAATTATTTTGCCTTGGTTTCCAACTGTTTATCAACATACATCTTAGTTTCTATGCAGGACCATGAACAGGATAAATTTTGGTGGTGACGAGTTTTCTAAGCAGGATAGTCTAGTCATGAAGCCTTCATTGTCCTTATAGACATCATCAGCACTGATGTAAGCGAAGATATGTTGTGGAGTTTGACAATGAATTGGTGTTCGTGGAGATGAATAGTGTAGCCCTTTTACCTGATGCAGTTTCTTTCAGCTGGAGCCCATTTTTATTCAAATTTTGTTCCGGTGATGTTATTTAAAATTAGAGATACGTAGTCGCGTTACTTACAAACTTCAAGTAATATAACATTTGACACAATAATATGTTTTTCTTCGGAAACAAATTACTATTTTCCATAAGCTTCTGACCAGTTAAATTTACCGTATTCTAAGGTCAGTTGCGCTGTTTAGTTGAAATAGAATAACGATGAATTTAAATTTCTGAGTAATATACCTGAAATGAGAAACTTTCAATCATTTGATGGGTGATATTTCTAACTACTTTAAAAGTCGATTTCAGTAGGTAGTTACAGAACGGCCATTAAAAATAAAAAGTATTAATCAAATCTCATGCGTAATTATTTGGATTGATGTTAATATTTATCCATTTACTCACTTGTAATTATATTTGGTTCATTTAAATTCCAACATGGATCCTAAAAGATCCATTCAATGAATAAAGATGTCTGAAAGACAGAAAGGCAAGTTAACGATCAAGCTGTCCAAGTAAAATATCACGATGTTTACGGATTGTCACAAGGTCATTTTGTTGGTGAAACATCATCCATATCATATTTGGGAAATTTTAATTCATTGTCTTATTTGATTGGAACCGATTCTTAGTTACATTAGTTTTGCGTATAAGTATTCTTTAATAGCTATTTAAATATCAAGTTATTCGTGTCATGGTAGAAACCTATTTTTAAACATGTGATTCTGATTTCTATCTCATGCAGCGTGGTCTAAATGACGTCATAAATTGAAGGTGATCAAATAGTTTAATAAAGCAAAAGCAGTTACTTACTTGAAGATTTGGTCGTTGAATACTTTGGAGCTGTGCTCATTACGACTCCTTCTTTAGTACATAATACAACTAAAGATCCATCGGACTGACCAACCAACAGTAACAAAATAACCGGTGGTAAACAATCGCTGGATTTGTCATCTTCCAAAAATAGCTTGAAGTAGTCTGGGCAATGTACTGGGTAAAGTAAGAGTGGACCACGGTAAAACACATCATGGTCAGATGATGACCATATAGAAAGTAGGTTACATGGTCGACTACAAGTGGAAAATACAGCGATGTCTCCGTTCTGAAAGTGTTAATAAAATGTAATAAGTTCGAGCTAAATAAACTAAATGTAGGTGATTGATTCACAATCAATATGGCGAACATAGATTATGGAATTTGAATTGCTTTTCACCCATATTCATTTAATTGCCCAAATGTACTAAACCGAAGAGGAAAACAAATTTTTGGGTGAATTTTATAGTAAAGATCAGATAATGTTTTGAGACTGTGTCAAACAAACCAGTGAATTTAATGTCGAATTTATAAAATGACAAAATAACTACATAGTACTTGTAAAACATTCTCCCTTAGTTCGAGACACTAAGATGATACGTTTTCACAATCTTCATCGGAACAATAATGTAGTTTACTTAGATTTTCAATGGTTTAACAAAAAGTTATCTACTGAGAACCATAATAATTATAAGTTTTTTTTAATCAAGTAGAATTACACTGAAGACGAAATTAATTTTCTTAACATCTATACCAAAACCATATTCATATGTACGTTAGAGCCAATAAGAACAGGGACTAGAATATTCCGTCCCAATTTATCCAAGGGTGTATTTGGTTACGTTGTATTCTTCCAGATGTTATAAACTGTCAGATCTGTAGTAGTAAGACAAATGACCAACAATCAACGTTTTTAGAATAACACAACAAAAACTTATTAAGCTATCCTTTACAGTCAATGAAACAATTTAGCACTCAGAAACTCCTAGTTTTAGCATTCGTAAGTCCTTGTCAGTAAAACAACCTCATTCTAAATCCGCTTTTTACATGAATTATTTCACCAAAAACTTTTTGAGACAGGAATAATTTACCACAATCTACCCATGAAATAAAATCACTCCCATCCGTTGTTAGCTGCATCGATGCTTACTTCTCTGTGTTGGGACGGCTTCGGGAAACACGACAAAGCCTCCAGAGGCTCTAAAGGAGCCGAAGAGATTCTATCCAACCAGAACCTGATAGAGCTTTCTAGAATATCAATGTGGAATGTTACGAATGGACAACAGCATAACGTGCCTCCCTATGGATTGGCAGCATTCACTTTCTCAGCTTCTTCTGTCTTCTGATTTGCGACTCTGGGGTTCTACACGTTCGAGTGTCGCTAGTTGTATATCTTATTCTGCCTAATCCAGTAGAGGAAGTAACACTCCTTTAAAATTGCCTCGAATGTGCTTACACCTGTAAGTGTATCCCAGTCCACTAGTGAGATTACAGGAACTTTAATTGTCTATTCGTTTTTATTACTGAGCCTACTAATGAAACCTCCCTACCTACAGATACTTTACATTAACACCGTCACTGGTAACCTTAACAAACCTGAATAATATCTAGAACGCACAGCAGACCATAAAATAACCTGGGACATGTATTATGATAGACCTGACGAACTGACCTATCAAGGTGGCTATTGCTTTTTTTATTCCATGCTCTCTGTTTCCGCTGTATTTCCTCTAGCTGTAGATGATTATAGTCAATAAGTTATGGGGCTGACAATTAGTGCACGGTGGTTGTGATTTCTCATCCCCCTGTTGATAAGACATTTTAGGGTGTGATTAGAAAATTTTTGAAATAGATGATTGGTGAACTTGTTTTAGAAAATGTGTGCTCATGTGATAATGAAAAAACATTCTAATGAGAAGCAGTGACCAGTGGAGTTCAACCGGGTCAGTTGTGATGACAATGGTGGATGTGTCGCTCAATTTCGTGTATTAGTTGAAGTTAGACATTAATGCCGTCGTATGCCGGCTCACTGGTCTAGTTGGTTAAGCGCCTAGCGGGGCCGTGGATGCGCACCGCTGAGGAGTCCCACGATAGGACGAAACGGCCGTCCAGTGCTTCCAGGTTTTCCATGGTGATCTAGCTTCAATTGACTCATAATCTCAACTGTTGAAACATTTTATCGTCTGTAATAATTTGTTAATTGACTGTAAACCGTGCATCTTTGTAATCTGATTAGTTCAAATCTAAGTAGCATAGAGCATAGCGCAACTTCGTGGATTGGTTGAGGTTAGACATTAACATGAATTACCATCAGAGTAATCGAAATAATTCACGATACAAAAAGGATAGATGTCTTAGATGTATGGAGAACTGAAAAATTCATGCATTTATGGACTACAGTTTTGTTCTCCATTAATAATAACATTATTTATACTTTAAGTATGAATATCTCTAATATATACCTCGGGGAAAGAAACTACATAATGGACTTACGCTTTGTAAAATAAACAATTTTTCTAACATCCAATGCCAAGTAGCATCTTCAACTGTATCTTCACATATAGCTGTTGTTAAAATGGATCCGTCCAACGCGGAAAGTAAATGTACACTTCCAGGTTTTCCTTCACATATAACAACTGCTATATTAATCGAATTATCATTTTGATATTCAGCCAGATTAGATGATTTGTTGGCTTTTGGATTATCAATATCATATAAATCATTCAATCTTATAAACGAAATATTTTTAACTGTTTGTGGAAATTCGGCCATCGGTGAACAAGGCTGTCCAATAATGCGAAACAAAGGAATAAAATGGTAAATTTAAATAAATTCTATATTTTAACAAACACATTATTCACTAACCAATAATCTATCATGTAAATATGCATAATATTATGTAGCTTTGAAATTAAGCTTAATGAGAAGGAATCCTTCGTTAAATTATTTGTTTTATAAACATTCACTCCAAACAAACACGAAATGACAAATCCCAACTTGGTATAAATTGAAACAAATATACTCTTCATTTATTTTGTCGAATATAAATCTGAAATAAGATAATATTATGACTTAATAATATGATTTAATAAAGTCTTTTTAATCTAACAAGCAAACAGTGGTGTCTCGTAAAGGTTTGATTATGCACTTAAAAGTTATTGATTTAGTGTGAGTTTTATGTTACAAACAAGGTTAATTAATATGATAAAATAATTGATCTGATAGATGAAATATGACGTTTTACCAAAAATACCTCCAAAGTTTTAAATAAACTGACTAAAGTTAAGAATGCGAACAAACGGATTCCGAGTTAATGATCAAAAGAGATCATGCTTGTTTAGATATCTGAAGGCTGTGAATATAAAATGGTGTACAACTGTGGGTAAGCATTACTTTAAAGACTCAAAATAGAATCAAACATCAGCACAACACTTCCCGTTTTTTAACATTTCTTAATTTGACATCGGTTCATGGTAAAGTTCATTTTTAAATTACTGGTTGTACAAAACATTTTAGAAATTAAATAAATAGACCTTAATCTTTCAATAAAGTAAAATGAGTTTATTTTTACATCAGTGAATGAAGAAGTCCAGACAAGCTTGCTGAATGAAACGTTGGAATTATTTAAATTTCAATCGCCGAGATTATTTCAAATACTATTTCCACATATCATGAGTATTTATGAAAAGTGTTTGGTGGTTTTATTTGAGGATCTGTAGCAATTATATATTTACAGAGGAACAATAATTAAACCAGTGAAAATATAGGCAAATCTAAATTTGTATTACCTCAGATATTGTCCAGTGTTCCAAGTAATACTCCTGTTGGCGTTCCTCATGAATCTTACATGTATTGATGTCTTCATATACTCCAACTAAAAAAAGTTCACCAGTGTCTCTTTTCACTGTAATGTCATGGATAGTGTGTACTGAGTGTGATGCTGAAGTCTTTGTAGACAGAACCTTTGAATACAAATTCATTAGTGTCTGTCTACTATCTACTTCTTTGATGGTATTCTCCTTAGTTCCATTATTTGATACAATTCTTGACGGGTTTGAAAATTCAGAACCATCATTCTTCAGATATACATAGTCTGATTGCCAGAACTGCCAACATTTCATCAATCCATCCTTACTTATAGAAACAAAACTTGGAGACGTGGAATAAAATTTTTGTGGTCTAATTAAATCCCACCTATGTGATGAAAAATGAATAATTTCTCCCAAGTGACCATGAAGTACTGATAATTGAACTTGGTCAGTATTCCATGTCTGAAAATGAAAACGTTTAGCGAATTTAATTGTCTAGTTACCATTTGACCAAAATGTAAATTTTTAATATTGCCTGATTCCTGGGTTTTCAGTAAAATTTCAAAGACCTATCAACGGTAATTTGACACTTTTTACAATGTTTCATAGCATTCAATATATACACTTAGTCTAGTTGACCTGAATCTTCATATTTTAACAGTTTAGTAAAACAAGGTTCTAATGACTTCATACTAGAACTAGCAAAGGATGTGTTCGGTGATTATAACGATTTTCCTCTACTCAATTTCCAGATATTCATTTTATTTAACATATATTACATAAGTATAGGTCATTCATAATTTGTCGTCCGTAGTAAGTGGTCTGTATATATATAAAATCTCCTCGCCTTGAGGCCTGAAGGTCTTGGGTCCAGTTCTTAATGAGATTTTGGATGATCACCAATCCAACTAAGACGACATAGCTATCCGATATTCACTGATTTTCGATGGTTATCCAATTATTCAGTTTCCGTTGTAAACCACATTCAGATTAAACGAATTCCACAAAACTCCCGTGTTAGGATAAATTGGAGTTATAAAGATGCACAGGGGAAAGAAGATATGTATATGAAGTGTATTGGGACATTTTACAGTAGAGATTATTGCTGGGTTATTGGGTCAGTGGGTGATCAACGTAAGATTTAATCTGCTGCGTTTGATCGATTCGCAGCTCTGGTAACTTTTTGAATCTGGGATGTGTCATGACAAAATTTACATAGATAAATCAGTATAGAGATTTGTTCTAGTTACATTTGCTGGTAACTAATGGTGAACTGTTAACGACATTTCTAATTTGAATCGTGATTAACTAATTAGATGCAGTTACACTTCAATAAATTTTAGTTCTCATCAAAATTATAGCTCACTACCACTTTACAAATTATCACTGAAATTATTTGAAGTGAGCCATATAACCGGGAAAATTAACAGTTAGCTTTAGCATAGAGAAAACCATCGCAATACATATATTAATAATGAAATATATTCATGCTAATGACAAGTCTAAAACGAAACAAGAAAGTTATGATGTTACCATTTTGGTTGTGATATTATATTCAGTATGAAGGTGTAGGGGTTGTTGAATCTTATTGAAACCAAAAATTAGTCTAAGTTAGACCACCATTGAAAAGCTGAAAACACTGGATGGGCATATCATCCTACTATAAGACTAATCAGCAATGCGCATCCAGGAATCCAACCCAGGACCTTCGGTCCCGTGTGTGAACGCTTGACCTCTAGATCACTGAGCTAGCATAATATGTTTTAGTCAATTCAGTTTTCAGTACTTTAGTTGTATGTTTTGCCTTCATACTTATTTGTACAAATAGTCACATTTATCTATCTCTCAATTATTTTCACAATGGATCAATGATCAAATTATATTTTACAGATTAACGATACCTACGAAGAGCTTACAGAAAGCAGACAAAGGGAAATCATTCCATTGTTATTTGCGAAGTATCATGAGTTACCTGAACATAACTTCAATTAACGTCTAGGTAAATAAATCTTATTGTGATTTAAGCTATGATTAGTTAATGAGCAAAAAAGAACATATCAAGTCTGTGATTACTCTATAGATTATTGTCATATGTAATAGATTGGCTTCACTGTGGTAGTTCAGTAACCCAGTGTATTATTAAGTAGCTAGTGTCCCAGCGGTAGAATAGTATCTATTATCTCGTATTTTGTATCGAAAAACGGTATTTATTTTTACCGTTATAAAACAGTAAGTTCTCAATATTTGTATCGAGCGCTGATACTTTGAATTAGTTAGTTCTAGCAAACAACTGAAATGAATCATTGCGTTTTTCGTTTGGTTAATCAACTTTAAAATATATGCCACGTTTTGTAAAATACATACTTTAATTGTTCCACATCTATCACCAGTAATTAAAATATTTAATGGGCTAATGTAAAGAACAGCCGTAATTTGTGATCTGTGGTTGATCATAGCATTTTCAAAAGTTTGAAAATTGATCGTTTCTAATAGTTTTCCATCAGTTTCATCACAATCACTATTGTGGGATATGGAACTGAAATATCTGTTAAATTGCATACAACGTAACCAAGCAGAACATTTCCAAGCAATTAAAAGTTTACAGTTATGACTACATTTCTCTTCGAAACTGATTAATTCTGATGGAAATTCATAAGTTTCAAGAAGAGTTCCAAGTAGAGGACATGTCATGATTTTTGTAAATAATTCTTCTTGACAAGTTGGAAAACTAAATGAGGTACAATCCTTAAGTATCAAAACTGGTACACATTTATTAGGTATAAGTTGAATTTCAGTAAACTGAAACTGCCAGTTTCTTGCAAATATAATCCAACAATAGTCATTTGAAAATGTTTTAAACGATCTTATTTCCAACGAAAATATGCTTCCTGAATCAAAATTTGAAAATACACCAATCAACTGATTTTTAGTTGTAGACGGGATGCCAATATTCTGAAAAATAAATTGATGAGATAATATGATAGTAATGAAAAACGTTTTAACGAGGAATTTATAATAATGATGAATGGCAAATAATTCCACAAGAACTGAATGTATCACCAACCGAAAGTAATGTTAAGGGACAAAATTTACCCTGATACCAAGTAAGTGATTGCCAAATTTATAGTTATATTTGTCTGTATTCAAATAACACTGAAGTACAGTAACAGAATGTTTGAATGATTTAGGCTGATCTGTTCAGTACCAAGATAACGTTATTTAGACTGAATTTCAATAGAAATAGACGTCTGAATTCGAGAAACTGTTGCATCACCGATCTAATTTAATCACTTCCCGTCAAAGATTTGAAAGCCTCATATAGCGTCAGGAAAATTTACATATATAACTAAGGTTAACTACTGAAATTTTCAGAATTCTGAATATCATGTTTTGCGGACCCTTAGTAGTGTTGATCAACAGAAAGTAATTTAGCCTTTTTCCTTAGAGCTTAGCTCATATTCAAGTTTATTTGTGGTGTTAATGATGTCGACAGATATAAGTAGTGTGCATCACCAATCTAAAGTGAAATGTCTGGCGGCAAAAGGTTAAGAAGATCGAAGAAAAGAAAACGAGAACAGGGAATAATTGCTGTGGGAACGAGGAATAATGAAGTCTGGAACGATTAGTTGATATATTGCAAATGAGGTATTTATTGTATGGTTCTCAGATTTTTTGTGCCAAGATACATTTACTCGTCCTCACTGGTGTTCTCGTTCACTACGTATTTACTTATTTCCAGTGAACGATATATTCAATTACGTGCGATCTGTGGGTAAAAACGAATTGCCGTCTTTGTCGACTATACTGTTGCAACCACAGACGTATCGAATTTCGCTGAAAATTTAGAATGGCAATAAGAAACTTGGTTATTTATTCAAAGTGAGTTCTGATCTAGCCCTAAATGGTAAATTTGAAATGACCTCTAACAATTCAGATGTTCGAAGAATCATAATCCTTTCAAAGTTATATAAAAGTTCAGCTCAGGTGAAGTAATATCCACCGTTAAAAGCAATATGACTTATAAATGGTGAATTTTCATTTGGATAACCAGCTGCTAATATAAAACTTATTCAGTTTATCGTAATCTGTTATGGCAAGTGCCAAGCAACCGTCATACTAACACAAGGAAATGCAGTAAAGGAGTTGCGTAAGGAGTTGCATAAGAAAAGTAACAATTTTTAGCTGGTATCCAAGTTTGCGGTTTCAAAATGTTATGTTCTGTGGTTATCTGAGTCTGATGTTGATATTCACAGGCTTCCTAAATGCGTGCATAAACCAATTGCATCAGTGAGAAAATCAACTGTAAGTAATAACCTTGAGATGGTGGAGAAGTTTTGTAGCTCAGTTGGATGATTTTGATGGAGTTTTGTTCTCTGAGCTGGATGGTTTGGTCTACCATCAAAAGTAATAACCTATTATTGGCTAGCCGAATCGAGGGCAATATGCACATCTCATTCATAAATATGGATACATGTCCTCCATAAAACGGAGCCGAATCCTGAACAAGAACGTGCATTTGTCAGCACCTCTCACTTTTTATTTTCCCACTGTCTGACTTCCCCTGGTGCAGTACCTTCTCTTCGTGATAAACAAGCCTTTCTTTTGAATTCAAATAAACGAATTGAATGGGGGGTCAGTCACAAGAATACTTAGATCACGTTAGAGAATATTGGGGAACATATAGCGTATGTATTTATTTGACAACAGATATTTTTGTGCAGAATTTCTTTACTTGAGCGTTTAAAGAATACATTTATTCTTTGTTTTCTATTGTAAGATTTTAACTGCAAAAAAAGACACTGATACAATCAATACGGAGAAAAGTAAAAATGTGATGAGATTTGGTTGCCATTTAGTTTAAATATCTCACCTCAAGATTTTCACATGATAAAGGCCATAACGTATTTCCACCAGGTTTCCAACCAATGAAAACGTCCACTTTTGATGCATAGGCTAAACGGTTATAACTTTGACTAAAAGCATTTTCTGACGATGAATTTAGAACAAACAATTTAAAACGTAAGAACATGTAATGAAATAAAATAGTATTAATTTACTTTACCATTTGGAAATTTAATTAAGTTATTGTACTTGCCAAACCACCATATCCAAATAATTCGAATATGTATTTTAGTTAACAGATAAAAAGTTCATTCAGTTTGACAGTTTTATTGGGGGATTTTTACACGGACGATCATTTCTACTTGGGATTCGGAACCATTTGAAGCCATAGGATTATTAACTGTTCTTTTGTTATAAGAGAATAATTCAGTGATGTAACTTACTTTCTGGTCTTTCGCGTTTTTCATCGCACTTATATGAAAATGTTTAAACGTAAGGTAACATCAAAAATTTTAAAACTGAGAATATATCACAGCGATCGGTATACGCTTATTCACATCCGAGTGATTTTCTCGGAATTTTTGCACGTAAAATACAACACTAATTCTTTACAGCACTTTATCTAGGATTTATATTTTATGTGACGAAGCGGCTGAACGAGCCAATATCCATTTGGTTAGAGATGAATGCTTTGCAGCCATTGTTTTAATTAATTTCAAGTATATGTTTTGTTTATGCGATTAAAATGTAGACCAAAGGAGAATTTATCGCAACACCGACCGCATTGTGCTGATAGTTACTTAATGTAACTAAACAGGATACAAAGTAAACTAATTACTGCTTGTATTTTTGGAACCCCTTGGCAGTGTCACCACCTGAAGGATCAAGCCTATTCACCTTGGCTCTCGCAACAAGCATAACATTTAAAAACCGCTAGCTTGGGACTCATTGATTTACGTTACACAATAGTGCTATTCTGGCGAGACTATAATTTATGAACGGAACAATGGAATTAAAGACAGTATGTCTTGGATTTGGGAGCAGAATTCATTCATCTATATAGCTAAATGGCATTTTGGCATTAAAGCTGATGTTAATTCATGATGAAAACCTTTACTTTAATTCATAGCCTTAAATTCCAATTCCAAATCGTAATCCTAACTCCTCATATTAACTTATTGCTTTCTTATGCCACTGGTAAATAAGTGAATTATCTCAAGGTTACCTCAACATCACTCAAAGGTCGTTAATAAGTTATAGTCTTACCGCTATTCTTACTCACTTTTTCGAATTTCATAGAACTATTAACCTGGTGGACACGAAAGACACTTCCTCCTACTAAAGATTCAAGGAAACCTATGAAAGCATAGGCATTAGTTAACACATGATTTTCCGAAATTTTTTGCATATCTTAAATGCATTTTTCACCATTAACTGACACCCAAGGCTTCTTGTTTTAAAACGTCTCTTATCTGATATCCATTATGCAATGAAAAATCTTTTAAACAAACGAAAAAAATGTTTTAACCAATTACATCAAAAGGTAAATTTGTAGCATATAAGAATTATTATTGCAGAAAGCTAAAACGATTGGTTGAGGATTACTAATCTTTAACCAACTGTACTAAAGATTGTGGGGTGAAAGAAAATGTGCTTTTTCTAATTAAGATACATCTGATATATTGTGTGATATCCGAAATTAATAGTGATATGCAAGTTTTCTGTACTCAAGCCAAAACTAGCGACTTGAGCAAGAAGAGAGTAAAAATTTATTGACCGAAGCAGAATCAAGAAATATCGTTACATTAATTCGAAGATGTACGTCTTCTTACTTTAGAAAATAAAAGCTCATTTTCAACCGTTGGCGTTTCTCATTCCATAGAAAAAGAACTAAAATCTTACCTGCTAGCGAACGTTTACCGTTTAGCATAAGTCTGATTTGTCCACGGTACTAGAATTTTGTGACACAACCGAGAATAACTGACAAAGTTTCATTGAATAATTTGGCAAACAAGTAAAATCATAATTTGAAGGGGAAAAAGTTTCGTTATAAAAGGTTAAGTTTTTAATAGCTCAACGATTACTTTAATGTTAACCACTTAGCGAGTCTGACATTACAGATAGATAAAGACTTAAAGATATAATACTACTTTCTAATTATCTCTCCTTACAATTTATGTCTTTCTAGTAAGTTCGTAAAGCTTTTTAAATGACTGATATACAAAACAATACATACTATTTTTGTTTTCTGTCAAAAGTACTTCGTTCATTAGTTTAAATTCTTTCAGATCGTAAAATTTGATGCTCGAGGGTGTTTTAATTGCAATCCGCTCATTTTCTCTAGGTAAGTAAAGAACCTGCATAAAGGAAAAAAGCATAAAATAAAGCAAAATTAATACAGACAATGGTTATATCTTTCTAACGTTGAACAAAATACTCTTTTTGTTTATTCACATTCATTCTGTTTAAGCCGAACTAGTATTCAAAGGTAATATAAAACAATTAGTCTCAAGTGTATTTGTTGAATGACATAGTTTACTTGGAAGTGACTTTTCAATTCAACTGCTTTGTCTTAGTTAATGATGAACAATGATTGTCGAAAAATATTTGAAGTTCTTATGATTTACATAACTCCAAAAGAGTTTGTCTATATCAGCTAAAAGAGAGTAGGTCTTTTTGTGCCTTCATATCAACAACTTACTCTTAAGCTCAGCGAAATTCTACTTGATAATCAACTGAACAAGCGTCAAATAGAATGACATTATGCTTTCCTATAAGCATGTCACACAATGAGGAAGTTCTAAACGAAGAAACAAAACTTAAGATTATCCAAAAGTGGTAGTTTTGCTCCTATCCTATTTTGGCATACAGAGCAACAAAAGAGCCCGAACTTTTAGAATGACATTTGATTATAAAGAGTTACCTCTTATTATGGTTTATTTCAAGATTAATAGCAACTAAGGTTATCATAAGGGAGTCCCAAACTTAAAACGGTATTATTATGGAATGACATCCTCACATAAAACGTAGTTGATAGATAAAATAGTTACAGTCAGTCTCATGTAATTCAGTGAACTAACTAAAAAAGCTCATGAGTGTGGAATGCATAAATTCTAAAGGATTGGAAAATTGTGGGTAAACAGAAAACAAAATTGAACAGAACAATTACCTGCTCTATTATACAAGACGAAAAAGATGCCGACCTTTTGAGGAGACTATATCCAAATATTCTGTCAATATTCGGAAATATACTTGGCTGATTGTAGCTGTAAGATTTATATTGAAGTATCCAATCTCTAATTAGCCTCCATCTGTCTCTTGAAAACAATAAATTATAATTTTAAAGCAAATAGAATGCTTTATTACCTTGCCCTAATTGAAAATGTATCGCCTATGTTTTTATAGTTACAAGGAAGGTCACAATTTTGTTTGTGATCATTACTGTTCATATTGAAAATGGGCTGATTGCAGTTACGACGACCTAATATTGACAACCTCTAACTGGTAAAAATAAACAAAGTACCATAGTTTTAACAAACAATGTTTAATTATAAAAAAGGTTATTTATGGAAATATTTATACGACAAGTTTCTATGTTTCAATTATTATCTTGTTTCAAATAATCACTCTTCAGTTGTATAAATAACGAAGTTGCGCTGTTTCACGTTACGCTTGTTGGGCCAAGGTAGCTTCATCGAGTGGTAGGCAAATCATCGGTCAGGCGAAGCCGTTTCTACGTTGGATGACAAAACACTTATCATCAGGCTATTCGGTGAATGTCGTCTGCGTCAGAAATGATTGCATGCTATGGACAGTCGCATAAAGCAGTGGTTCCACGTTGTACTTTTGTTGCCAGTGAATAATTATATATTTACTGTTGGTAATAGATTTTACTCAGTCTAGCCATTCACTTAGTAAGCTTATTCACCTGGTTATTACTATAGCATGATTAAGGTTCAATATAAACCGCGAAAGGTTGTCATCCTCGTTCAACTCAGGTAAACCAAAATCTTCGACACTGATCACTTGAATCTGTTTTCTGAACAGACAATAATCCCCCTATCGTCAATACTGTGATTGCTGGTGGCTACAGAAATCCTGTAGCTCCGAGGAGGACACTGTAGATCACCAACATAGATGATCTATGTCGAAATGATTGGAGGCCGACTCGAGTTAGACGTGAATAGTGTGACGAACCAACTAACGTCTAAGTCACACCTTGTGGTCAGCACCTTACGTGGACTACCCCCATTGGCGTAACAAGGTACTATAGATGCTTTGAAGACTGTACAACACAAAGGACGTTATTACAGAAATATATTAGTTAAGGTAGATACAGGCGAAAGTAAGACCACTGCCGCATGGGCCAGTCCATGGCGTATGATTAACTAATGCGCGTTGCTTCTACATGACCTTGGCAGGGAGCGATGATCTGTTCGACATTCAGTGATCCAACTGCCGTATGATTTGGCTAGGGCTCAGTGACATTTCACTGACCCTACAATACTCCCCCACCAGATTCAACGGCCGTTTGAATCGGTACCAAACATGTTGGGAGCAGTCGCGCGCCAAAGAGTGCCAAACGAATATTATAAATCCTCCAGGTATTGCTTATCTGTAAAAGAAATGGAAAGGAGGCGGCAGAAACTGGTCGGGAAACAGCGAGTCATAATATGTTAGTAGGACGTTCGTTAAACGTAAAGCGATTAACCATAGAAATAATGAAAAGAACAAAACGTTTTATTGTTCTATCAAGTCGCGCTGAAATATATAGCGTTGACAAGTAGTTCAGTTCCTCCGATGACAAACGTTAAGTCTGCCGCAAGAGTAATGATGCTATAGCGATAGTAGGATAAGTGTACTATCAATCGATATCCATATTTGTACTATTATTAGTTTAAAGTTGTAAGTCGAACAGTGTCGTTGACAGCTATTAATTAGTGTCGAATTCTAGTTATATCTATATCTGACAGACTAACCGTAAGTACAGAAGTATAACAGTGAAGAGTGTTCGTGATTTCGTTGTGCGAAGCTATTGACCAACTTGTAGTCAGAGTTTGAAAAGTCGATGACTGCTGTTACAGTCAGCAAGGGTTGAAGGCTACAAATCCACAGCAAAGGTGGCACGATGAAGTCTCTAAAAGATGATAAACGGTGAATGCTGCGTGTTTGTTCGGTTAGTGAACAGAAAAATATCGAAAAGAACATAAGAAATCAAGAGTGTCACTCTGGACTCATGTCAATGACACCCGTGAAAAACGCTGTCAGTGTTGGGATAGAGGCGACAATATCGTTTTCAGTTTGCAGGAGATTCGCTCGACTGCATAAACTGATGATTCGCGCGAATGATATTGTCGTCAGACCACCAATTGAACTGGACAGGTTGTAAATCGTCGAGTAGTTGAACAGCCGATTGATGCACCGGAATCATCTGTTAAACAACAGCCACGAGGAAACAATACTTCATAAAATGAAGTACGACATCGAAGTAGAACAACTACAATAGTTCAGATGTGTTACAATGTCAAGTTTAAATAACATCGTTCTTACGTATACTGACAGTTGCACTGAACGTTCGCTTAGGTATGATTAGCGTAACAGTTGGATGTGTGAATAAAAACATATACGAAAACTATGGTTGGGTTCGTGGAGAATTTTCGAGGACGTTTAGATATTTTCCAAACCCGTATCGCATGTAAATAAACCGAAAATAGAATTAAAATGACTGTCGTGTAATAAGGAAATCGAGCCATGATTTACCGTGTGAATTATTAGCAAATACAAGGGGTATAATAAACATTAATTAAAATGGTAACCACCAATGTAACTAAGGTTTAGAGGGTCCAGGTAACGTGGCCATTTCGTAAAAGGCTGATACAAAGAGCTTATTACCTAGCGTTAAGTGACATATTAAGTACGACAACGTGTGTACTTGGGACATGGACTAAGCGTGCTCGTGTACATGCAATATGTTTTACCACAGTATATCGACTAAAACTTGACGGCAGTGACAGAATATATGACTAGTTTACGTGAAAGCAACTACGAAATGTTATCACGCATCATAAATATGGTACGAAATAATCTAATGAAATTATGAAACTCGCCTGGGTTACTCTTGCCTTTAAGTAATGAAGTAGGCAGTAGTTTGAATCTGGATTATGTACGAGGTACTGTTGATTAAATTTTTCGATTAACAGAGTTGTAGGCTGACGAACAGTCTAAACGAGATCTAAGATCGCAGGAAATTTATAGTTCAAACTCACCGTGAATTTCTAGCATTCGTATCCTCTGTTTGGCCATGGAACTCAGCAATTGGAAATTAGGCAGGCAGTGGTAAAAAAAAAGCAGAACATTCTAGTGGATAGTGGTTAAGCAGAAAGATGAATTTATAGTCGATAGTTAATCTTGTCTTATTTATACCAGTGGATAAGGTACAAAGAGATATGCGTTCGTGTTGCCTTGTGGCTATACTCACGAGTGGTTGATATTTTAACAGACATATTACACAGGAGCATTTACATGCTGCTAATGCTTGTTAAAGAACCACGATAGCCGATTATAATCGTAGTTGATTGGTTAGTTCTGTCGATTGAACGAATTATCTAGGTTTAAATGCTAATCAGCATTGACATGAAGCAACGAAAGTTCACAGTAACAGATTAACATAGGCGATGATAAAAATGAAAAAGAATAAGTATGGAATACAATAATAAAGATTGTAAAGATAGGTTGCGTTATTCGAAGTCTTGCTCACCAGTGTAGATCACCAACGTAGATGATCTATGTCGAAATGATTGGAGGCCGACTCGAGTTAGACGTGAATAGTGTGACGAACCAACTAACGTCTAAGTCACACCTTGTGGTCAGCACCTTACGTGGACTACCCCCATTGGCGTAACAAGGTACTATAGATGCTTTGAAGACTGTACAACACAAAGGACGTTATTACAGAAATATATTAGTTAAGGTAGATACAGGCGAAAGTAAGACCACTGCCGCATGGGCCAGTCCATGGCGTATGATTAACTAATGCGCGTTGCTTCTACATGACCTTGGCAGGGAGCGATGATCTGTTCGACATTCAGTGATCCAACTGCCGTATGATTTGGCTAGGGCTCAGTGACATTTCACTGACCTTACAACACTTTCATAGACACTACAATATACATAAGCCAACAAATAAATAACAAACTCACTGAAATTAGTACGGTCGAATGAGCAGAATACCACGCACTGGACATCACCAAATACCTGGAACCTCATAGGAATAACAAGAAGAAAGCTCAGAGCAAGCAGTTGGTTTTCACAAGGTCGTGGGTGAGATTCAACATATTGTACATACGTATGCATACAATACATACAATTCCTTAACATTTATCAGACACAACCGATAGATAGGATAGATGACTTAGAGCGATAAATCAGTATGGTGTGAAAAAATTAATGACAGTAGAATTTTGTAAGCCACATTGGCATTATTTTCAAAACATGTTCAGTTAGCCTGTGAGACAAGTCCACCTTTTGTTAATAAAATCGGAAGTATACTGACCTCACTAATCATGCTTGTTTCTGTACAATCACGTAAGGTGAAAGTGCCAATTAAACTGGGCTATAGTATTCAAAGTGGCTATTGACAAGAATCCTTTCCTTTAACAATTCCCATATTTTTTATAGGCATTATATTAGGATCCTGAAGGGAGACGTAAAGCAGGAAGACTAAAGAGCATATTGTGCCTGAAATCGGAAGCAGACATCAAAAATATAAAAAGCGATTACGAACAACCTGAAAGGATTGCCTAGGACGGAGTTCGTGGGCGAATCCTGGTGAGCGACCTGTGCTCCTCTACGAGGGGTAACAGATATAGTTAAGTAAGCCGCTTGCTCGTAAAATATAACCCCACGCTCCTACTTTTCTGTTCTACGCTTTAAATAAAGACTTATTCACTACTGGCCTAGTCTATTCAATCGATAGATTAAGGTGTGCCTACCAGCACAAAAGACCCTTCTATTTAACAGATAAATACACGGGCACTAGTTTAAGTATCGTTAGAGCTAAGCTATGATTCTTTAACTTTATCAGAATTTTGGTTATCGAACCAGGCTTTAATTTTTGAGCGGCGAACATTTTCGACATCATCAACTGTCTACGAAAACTCATCACCTTGAATTTTTAGCTTGATAAATTTCTTCTGAGCATTCGTCGTTGTCAATATATATGATCACGTCATTATATTCTACATTTTTTAGCGACGCACACATGCAACTGGTTCAACAGCCTACAAGCTAGTCGACTGAAACACCAAGGTTTAGCAGGGTGGGATCTATCCTTTCTAGTCCTGAGCGTATTTGATAGAATGAGCAAGACCATCAGCTTACTCATTCAACGACGCATAATGAAAATTTTAAAAGTTAAACCATCCGACGAATTCCGAGAAAAGTCTGAAAT